GCACCAGCCTATTTTTTTATTTTTTGAGACAGGGTCTCACTCTGTTGCCCAGGTTGGAGTGCAGTGGTACGATCTTGGCTTACAGCAACCTTTGCCTCCAGGTTCAAGAAATCCTCCCCGCTAAGCCTCTTGAGTAGCTGGGACTCCAGGTGTATGCCATCATGTATTCTGGCTGTTTGAACTGGGGAATAAGGCCTGCTGGATTTAATGGACTTCACCTTCAGATGATTGCTGCTAATGATATTCTAGAAATCCGTAGGCCTTCACTTCTTCTGTGTCTATCCACCATAGGGGTCTGATCTCCAGGTTTTGTCAGGGGGCAGGAGATGGGGTGGAGTTAATTAGGCCCCGTGTTCCAGAGCCCCAGGCAGGCTTATCATGGAGCAAGACAGAGTTTTGTAAAAGAGTCTGACCCTAGCTCTGAATTGGGGGCCAGAGTTACACCAGAATGTGCACTAGACAGACCAGGCCTGGAGGTGGACCACAGCCCAGCTCCCTTGGCTACAAGATGAATCATCTTTCTGCAAGATGGCAAAGGAAACAAATAGTTTCAGGATCCCATGTAAGACCAGGCTTTTGAGGTTTGGGTCTGCTTTCTGCATTGGTGCAGCTGGGGGTGTTAAATGTTTAATCATTTTGGCCTGGGCACAAGCAGCTTGATGGACACAGCATTAATCCATTAACGGCTGCGTGGTGGGGGGTACATAGCGGCGGGAGGGAGTCGGGGGCTTGCAGTGTAGCTGTTTCCCTAGTAGGATGGTAGGATTTCACAATTTCTGCTGGTATAAAGTAGCTCTAATTTTCTGGCTTCAACTAGACAAAAAAGAAACTAACCTTGAATGCCTGAGGCCTTAAAGATGATCAGATTACCTTCTGGCTGACCAGGTCAAGAGATCGAGCCCATCCTGACCAGCGTGGTGAAACCCCGTCTCTACTACAAATACAAAAATTAGCTGGGTGTGGTGGCGCACGCCTGTAGTCCCAGCTACTCGGGAGGCTGAGGCAGGAGAATCGCTTGAACCCAGGAGGCGGAGGTTGCAGTGAGCCAAGATTGCGCCACCACACTCCAGCCTGGGCAACAGAGCAAGACTCCATCTCAAAAAAAAAAAAAAAAAAAAAAAAAAAAAAAAAAAAAAAAAAAAAAAAAGAAAAAAGAAAACAAAGTCAGCTTGAGATTCTGCCAAGAAACAGTGATTTGTGTTTCCATGTATGTCAGGCTCCCAGGTCTCCAGTGAGACACAGGAAAACCTTTGCCTAATCCTCGCTCTCCAAACGCAGGGCTGGTTCTCCTGGTGAGGAGGTATCACTTTCTATCCTTGGCCTACAAAGACATTAAGAGCTTGTGGTTGACACTGCAGGGCGTGAGATCGCAGAACCTTGGGTGTGAGTCCTCAGAACCGAGCATTTGTATGCCGATCACAACAGCCTCACCTCATCGCTTGATGAAAACATAGTATCTGGTGGCCGTTGCTCGGATTTAGAAGGACATATTTTAAATTTTGTAGGATTTGAATGAGGTTTTCCAATAACTACCCCAAAGTTTAAGAGGGCTTCACATGTTTTGTTTGCCATTCTGTTTTATTTTCTTCACGGCGAGTATCATCTGAAATAATCTTATTCATACATTGATATAATTCTTGTCTGGTCCTCCCAGTAAAATACATTGAGGCCTCATCTTTCTTTTCGAGTTTTTTTTTTTTTTTCCTTTTGGGGTCTTTTGGCTCTATGAAATTGACATGTGTAAGGGATCTACAGGTGAGCTTGGACGTAGATGTGGACTCAAGATGAAACTGAACTGATGCTCACAGGTCAGAATCAGCAGAAAGAGGAGTGAGAGGTGAGGGAGCTGGAATGGGCCACATGCAGGTGCCTGCTTGTGACTCAGCTCTGCTGATGCCACGTTTTCTCCTTTCGTCCTGGGTGGTGGTTTCCCGGCAGCTGGTCACAGCTGTTGATGAGGCAGAGCTGCTGAGCTCTCCCGAGGTGCTGCTATTGACACCGGCGGGTGTGAATCGCTGTTTTCCTGCCTTGGTGCGTGATGGGGAGTCTGTTTCTTACTTTCTTGGCTACTGAGTTGCTCATGCCCCTGGCAGCATGGCCTTCGGACTTTGCTGAAATCGCATGAGATGGTGGGCAGTGGGCAGCAGGGGGCTTTCTGTCTGATGTGCACTGTACGTCTCTGTGGGCATGAAGGTCAGGGATGGCTCTGGAATCACCATGGCATGGCTTCCAGGGTGCAGGGAGCACTTTGTGGCCTGTTTTCCACCCTCTCCCATATCCTGTATGGTCATCCGTTATTGTCCCCCCAAGAGAGAAGGGACAGGTGATTTATTCTGATTTGTAGGTAGGGCCCTGTGACGAGGGGAACTTCAGGGCTGACCTGCAGGTGGTGTGAAGAGCAGACTCCAGCTCTCTGTTTCGGCCCACTGCCTTCTGTGTCAGCCTCCTGCTGTTCTGGCCCTCGTTCTTATTCTAACAGAAAAATCTTTCAGCCAGCAGGTGTCGGGGGCACTGGCAGGAATCTTTCCCTTAATAACGCCGGGGCCCCCGCTGCCGGTTTCACACTTGTCCTGTCTTCCTGAAGTGTGGCAACAGGAGGGGCAGGACGAGTGGAAATAGAAGCTGCTTCAGGCCAGGCATGGTGGCTCCTATCTGTAATTCCAGCATTTTGGAGCCTGAGGCATGAGGATCACCTAAGCCCAGGAGTTTGAGACCAGCCTGGGCAACGAAGCGAGACACTGTCTCTAAAAAAAAAATTAATTAGCAGGGCATAGTGGTATGTGCCTATAGCCCCAGTTATTCAGGAGGCTGAGGTGGGAGGATCGCTTAAGCCCAGGGGTTGGAGGCTGCAGTGAACGCGATTGTGCCACTGCACTCCAGCCTGGGTGACAAAGCATACACGAGGGAGAGCCCCGACCTAGCCACAGGGATCCCTTCTCTATCGGGCATCTCTGCTGTGCTCTGGCTAGAGACTTCAGGGGCCGGAATAGTCACCTTTCTAGTGCATCTCCAACATGCTGGACCAGCTGTAAGACCTGGTGTCTCTGCTTTTATTTTTTGTTTTGAGATGGGGTCTCGCTCTGTCACCCAGGCTGGAGTGCAGTGGTGTCATCTCGGCTCACTGCAACCTCTGCCTCCCGGGTTCAAGTGATTCTCCTGTCTCAGCCTCCTGAGTACCTGGGACTACAGGAACCCGCCACCACACTTGGCTAACTGTTGTATTTTTAGTAGAGATGGGGTTTCACCATATTGGCCAGGCTGGTCTTGAACTGACTTTGTGATCTGCCTGCCTCGGCCTCCCAAAGTGCTGGGATTACAAGCGTGCACCACCGTGCCCAGCCATG